TCTGCTATTGCACCACGTGTTGCAGATGCATACAAATGATTACAAATGTATGGTGCAGACAGGATGAGGCTGGTGCGGGGGTGTAGCATGTTGGAACCCTATAACAACACCCTTTGCAGTAAAGAAATACTACAGAGGTGGGATTTGGTCCTGGCCCACTAGTGCGTTGGCAGGGGCTCTTCTGATTGCCCAGGCGGCGATGCCAAGAAGTCTGACTTTGCGATGAACGATTTGGACGCAGCGATCGAGTCTTTAGATCAGACGATCCGTGGCTATGACCAGGTGGATCGGGACTGGGGAGGCCTGTGGGGGTCTTCGGGTTGTTTAAATGCCCTTTGCGGGGCAGTGTGGGGTTGTTTCGCAGGAAAAAACATTAAAACACACATGTTAAGAATTGTAAAGCTTAATAAACAGGAAGGAATTTTTGCGGTGGCATTTGTAGATCTTCAAGATTCGTTAAATTTTTAACTACTATAGGATCATTAATCAAACAGGTTCAATCACCAAATGAAATTTGCCGAGTCTGCATTTGTCAGTGATAGCATGCAAGAAATCCAAGCAGTGCCCAGCACGCAGAAATCCAAGCAGCTCACGTGTCCGCTCACTACGCTTTCCAGGAGGGCTACACTTTAGTTTGTCCTCGGCTGGCTTGATTCTCAGAGACCGCTGCACATTTTTAGAGACCGCCTCGAACCGGCTCCGCGCAGCATTGAAGTTTACGCTATACACAGATCCACACAATTTGTGTAGCTTCGCACAGGCTTTGTGTACGGCAATTGCCTTTGCCTAGCCCACTCTGTAAAGATTCAAGATGTAGTTTGCATAGGCTTGATTGCTGCCGCGGAGGATTTGCATTTGCTGCCACCCAGTCCGCGTAGTCTAGCGTAGCCTATGAGACTAGCCCGCAAGCCAAGAAAAGCGTACATGGTATCTTCGGACTCTTACTGAAGAGTCTGAGCAGCTCTTTGTGTGAAACACAAAACATCGCAAAACCCCGATCGGACTGATGGAACCTTCACGAGAACGTTCCGCCGCGTGATCCGCCGGAGAGACATCTCAAAAGGGATGTTGTGCCATGTCGTCATGATCCGTTCATATCAACTGTTCATTTGCTAGCGACTGGATGATCGGCTGAATTGAATGCTATTTCTTGTTTCTTGCTATTAACGATGTTCATCCCAGGCCAATTTTTCACATCTTTGTTTTGCAGCTTAGCTGTCTATAGGATGACATAGCCGCTATGGCTCTGTAGGTAGGTGGCTTGTAGAAAGACGGTCTTTGTTTATTTAATTTGGCCATGCAAAAAGCCTGCTCAGGTCGGCTTCCGATGCATGCGGAGGACTGGAGAAACCGTCCGTTTGTGGTGTGTTCCAAAGAGGCAGCTAAGCAGAGGCTTTTGTCCTTTTGATTTTGCTTTTTCAGACATGGTGATGCAGATGCATGTAGTTTCTGTTCCCGCATGTACTTTCAACGTTCCGATTCGCTAGCTATGAGTGTGCGTTCATCATAGTGTTTCTAGGCGGTACACTATACAGTTGAAAAATAACGCTCTAGAGTATTTATTTGAAGTACCGTGAGGGGGAGGGGGTTGTTTCTTGTTTGCAAGTGTACGATCAACACCAGGATGGATTTGCCTTACGAGCACTGGTGGGCAGAGATGCTCAGATGATCGCTGAGACAGGGCAAACGCTGACACAGGGCAAGCTTGAAACTGTGTCGTTCGCTGTGCTTGTCATACTCTTTTACGGAAGGGAGTGTTGGCAGAGTCTGTCGACACTCAAGCAAGGTCAGCGCGGTCACTGTGTGCTTCCATGTTTCTATATTTTTCTTGGTTGTTTTATTGTCAAGCAGTCCTCCAGACTTCAAGATGCTTTTGATCTTAAATATTGCAAGTACTGTATGATTCCATATATGTAAACTTTGTCAACAATTACATGGCAGCATGCGCATGATCAGATAGCGTCGGTCTCATCATATGTTTTTCTCTTGAACGTTCCTCCTCCTCCTGCTTTTTGCCCTTCCACATAATCCAATGTGAGTAGACACGATGCTGTTCACTTGCTGGCGTGTGTTTGCAGCTGAGTTGCACTTCACTTGCTGTTTGTATCAAGTAGTACTGTGGACCTTTGGAAACTGAAGAGGCGAGCAAAGCTGTCCATCAGAAGAACAAGCATGTTACAGTGTATATATATATAGTTCTTTTGATGGAAGCTCATCAATAGTGGTCAAAAGGTCAAAAACATAACGAAGAAGACCATCACACACACACACACCGAAAGAAGACGATCGCACCCAAACCAACGATCCAAGAGATTCACATGCCATACCATCGAGAAGTTCATCCGTTTGGGCTGCACGAACGCCATATGTGGCCGAAGTCTTCTCAGGTCCGCCTGGATGGACCTGTGATCAGCCGTCCTGTCACGCGTGCGGCCTTGCGCACCTGAGTGGAGAGTGGAGAGTCTGGTCATGCTTGGAGTCCGGTCATGATGGGTCGAGACGGGTCATCCAACTTAGGGAAAGGGGTCGGAAAGACATGAGAGAGTCTCAAACCCCCGCATGTAAGAGATTAGATGAGATTAGTATTTGCATGTCCGTTTTTCTGGAAGCATGCTCAATCCCCTGTAAAACGATAAGGAAGAAAAACAAAAAAAAGCGATAACCCCCGATGACTCTTGTGGAAAACCCTTGACATGCGAGAAGTGGTGTGAAGAAAACGTTTGCACACACACAAACAGAAAACCTACTCCTGTTCCAAATTGTCAGGGTCAATGCATCACTGCTCTTGGTGGGTATGTGCTTGGACAGAGGTGGAAGGGCTTGGACCGCTGTAGCCTTGTGCTACAGCATTGTTGTGCCACATGGTTTTCCAACTTGCACCAGGCATGAAAACGATAACAAAAACGATAACACAGCGAGCCTAAAACACCTTTGAGGGCGGGCCACCACATCAGTGTAGTTGGAATGAAGTGTGCCTAATGTCTTCGTGCCTGCAAGGTTCCACACACCACATGCATGTAGTGCACACACTACAGGTTACATTTGTTGCAATTAGTCAAAGTGCTGGACAACGATAAGGAAGAAAAACAACGATAACATCAAAAGTTGTGGGTTTGTTTTGCACATCCTCACATGGCAGTGTTTTTTTTTTACAGGTGACACGTGTTTGATATTATTGGATGTTATATGATGTTATATGCCCTGTATCTTCTCAGCAACGAGAAAGTCTTGCTCAGCAGTTTCTTCTCATTCTTGCTAATTCAGTTTCTGCCCACCAAACAAAGAGCCTAGGAACAATGCGCATGCTGATCTACCGCCGTTGCGGTCCATGTTCCGCCCGACATGCGCAGCAAGCATCGGAACACCAGGAACCGATGAAAACGAACTGTCGCTCCACCTTGGTGCCTCTTTTTGACTTGGACGCTCAGTTTCGAGTCGCGAGTGGCTCTTTGGGGGATAACAGAGAACAATGAATAATGTCGAATCGCGTAGATTGTGATCAGGAGAGAGCACATGTACTTTTAGGGACCACAGCGACCATGCGTGAGATCTCCAAATAATCCGCCAAAATTAAAACATGCTAACACTACTTTTGAAATGTTTGACTTGGAATGGACCTCAACGTGCTTGGTTTGCTCTCACGGAGGTGCTTTGGCACCGTTGGTGTTCTTGGAATACTTAATTGTGCTTCCAAGACGCACCTCAAACGGCTTGTTTTTGTTGTGTCCTTGACCTCCCAAATACTTTGGTGCATTCTCTCACAAGTAGGTATATAGCAGTGTAGCCTGCAAAGGCAAACCGATGATCATGTGTCAAGCTGACAATCACCCGGACTCTCATCTCAAAGCTATCACATGGCACGCCTCTTGCGCGGGGTTGTCTCACCAGTTTGTTGGTGGACCGCATGAGGGCAGCATGTGAACATATGTGAAGATGCTTGCGTCGGAGCGGGGAGCGGGATGATTTTTTGAAATCTTGTGAACCTGTGTCTGAAACTTAAAGAAGAGCAATTGTCAAGACGTGTCTGGGTAGGAATATGGCTTGACATGGAAGGACATGATGTCAACGTTGCCAAAAATCCACAAAAGTGGTTCCCACTGCGTGTGCTGCATTCTTTGTATTTGCTTACACAAATCCGCCGTTTTGGCCACTGATGAAGTTGTCCTGAAACAACGTCATGTTTCGCACGCTCCCGTGCTTTCCCCACCGATGCATCAAGGACACGTGAAAGAACATTGAACGATCAGGGCATTTTGTTTGACTTGAAATGCACCGGCAAGTGGTGTTTAAGCATGGGGTGTTGCTTGTATCGCTTCCACGGTTTCTTGGAAGTGCCTGTGGCCCATGAATGTTGGATAGCTGGCAAACCAGACCTTTTGGCCGTGTTTGGCAATGAAAAAATCCAGCATTGGGAAAAGCAGGTACTTTGTACATAGATGCATGGCATTGTCTTGACGTGTCTGCAAACATGTGTTCAAACTACACATGTCCTCATAACAACAGTGTAAGTTTCATAGTAGTATAGATTTCAATTTTGTTCGGTTATTGTTGGCCTGTGGCCTGTGAGCCTTTGTTGGTGGGGGAACACAGCTTGCAGACACAGAAGGCGAAGCCTTGCGGAATTAATTTTGTCCAGCAGAATGTCAAGGGTTCCAAACAAATGCGTGTTCGCATTCATGGTTTTCATGTTTGTCTTTTTCAGAGTTCTAGCTTCCTGCCTCTTTGGAACTTAGATCAGGCATTGAGCTCCATGGATTGTTTTGTCTACAGCCGGCTCAAAGTTCTGTTTGCGTTTGGCCAAGAGAGGATTTGAATCATGATTGAAAAACAAATGTTCTGAGTGAGCATGACACTGGAGCATCATCAAGTGTTAGCTGACCTGGATTTAGGGCAGTGGCAGTGAATCAAAACATCGAACCGATGATATCGTTCTCAAAATTCCAAAATAACCATCGCAGGCACAACATCACCGGCACACAAAGCTGTTATTTCTGGTCATATTGCTCCGTTTGTTTCCGAGGAATCCACTGAATCCACCGATTCACCTCTTTTTTTGCCCAAGATGCCATGGCCAACACGCCGGAACTCGAATCGGTGTTGAGCCGAAGGCGAGAAGAAGTTGAAGCGAGAGGTGCCTTTTACACCAAGGATCGGTGTGGGCGTGCTGATGCGGTGGCCCGGCGAATGAGAAGGTCAAGGGTTCCTTTAAGGCATGGGTATTAGCGAGTAATTATTTTTCAAAACGGTCGGAGTCTTGAGATGCACAGCCGACCAGTGTATTTATTTTTGGACACTCTGGTGCTGACACATTTGTGGCATGTTGTGAAAAGAGGGGCGGAGATCTGGAAGACGGGGCAACAGGCCGAAAACGACAGGAGGAAATAAAGAAGGACATGCATAAAATACTTTACTTCGAGTGATCCCCACCATGACATTTCGATCTGACAAATTTTCTGGCATGTATCGAAACACTATTTCGGAATTCTTTCTGGCATATCTTCTGACATCTTCTGATATTATTTATGCTATATGTTTTGACATTCTTTCTAGCATATCTTTTGACATTCTTTCATTTGATATTCATTCTGGCATTCTATCTTGCATACCTGCTGACAGTCTTTCTGACATTAGCCGAAGCTCGCGGTTGAGGTCCGGCGGCGAACGCTGCCAGCCGAAGCTCGGGGTTGAAGTCCGGCGGGGAACACTGCCCGCCGAAGCTCGCGCCATCCGGAGCTGGCGGCTGAGGACATTTTCCAGACCTGCTACCTACCTAATAATTTGTAACATGTAAGTTACATTGTTCAATGAAAGGCTCTTGGAAAGTGAGCTTACATTTTCCCAAGTCTCTCCCTCACTAGGGGTAGGGATGGAGGTTGGGCATACCAGAACCACTAAGCAAAGTGCAAAAGTGATGCAATACCCAGCTGACCGCCTGACAGCTCCCCAACCATAAAGCTCGTCGCCTTTGCTGCTTCAACGATCAAAAACCTCATGTCATGGACCTGCGACCTGCGCAATGCACATCTGAGCCTGAGTGGGGAACTCACTGACAGATCATGTAGACACATGTAGAGACAGGTTTGCTGCTATGTTGGAGGGCGTGGCTAGTAGGTTGGAGGCCATTCCTTCTAGGTTGGAGGCCATTGCATGCATGAACCCCTGCCCAGTGTTGGGGGGCCACAGCTCCAAGTTGTGGAGAAGCAGCGGCAGGTTTTGTTTGGCGGGGAAAGGCCCTCGACATGCTTTAGGCCATTGCACGCTGACTTTCTTTCAACTCTGGGTGGTGAAATTTCGTTGACTTTTACACTTATTTTTGTCAGCTGCCCTCTCCTCCTCCGAACCTCAACCGCCAGCTCCGGATGGTAGTGTTCTCCGCCGGACTTCAACCGCCAGCTCCAGCCGGACCTCAACCGCGAGCTCCGGCTGGCAGTGTTGCCCGCCGGACCTCAACCGCGAGGGTCGCGTGGCTGTGTTCCCCGCCGAACCCCAACCACGAGTTGTGCCAAATAGAATGCCAGAATGATTGTCAGAAGAGATGCCAGAAAGTGCTAGAAAATTTGCCAGAAAAATGTCAGAAGATACGCCAGAAAGATTGCCAGAAAATATGCCAAAAAAAATGCAAGAAGATATGCCAGAAAAAATGTCAGCAGATATGCCAACAAAAATGTCAGGAGGCTTGCCAGAATGAATGTCAGAAGAGATGCCAGAAAGAATATCAGAAAATATGCCAGATAGAATGTCCGAAGGTATGCCAAAAATATCAAAAGTAACATCAGAAGATGTGCCAGAAAGAGTGCCAAAATAATGTTTCAGTTTCAATACACGCCAAAAAAATGTCAGATTGAAGTGTCATGGTGGGGAGCACTCGAAGTAAAGTAGTTTAATCTCATTAAGGTTTGCTTGAGCCCCCGGCCCCCGGGAATATTTTTAGATCCTGATAATATTTATATGGCGATCCGGTTGCCTTCCTTTGAGGTGCCCTCCATTTTTCCCCTTGTGGTTTTCTTTTGACTTGGGCATTCGGCATTTGGCTACAAAATTCGTCAATGACCGCTTTGTTTTTGGCATGGGGGATGCCCTGGCTTGGTGTAATTGTAACGCGTTATATAGATTTATATGTACACTGCATACGTGCGGCGTACTGGCTGAAACATAAATTGTGCAGCAATCCAACTGTGCCTGATAATGCCTGATATGAGATATGTGTGAAAAGAACTCTAAAATGATCCTTGCATGTATTGCAACCTGGATGCATCAATCCCAGACGCCTCGTTTTCGAGCCTGCCAAGGTTTGGTATGAGCGCACCGAAGGGCAGTTCAGCCCTCGCCACTCGGACAGACCCGTCTCCCGCTTGGCAAGTGCATCACCTTTCCCTGAGCGAGACGAGCCAGCGGAGGCACCGCGACAGCGCCCCCACTTGGTACGGAGGCGATCCGCACCCAAGCAACATCCTGAACCCGATCGCGTGAGGCGGAGCTTTCCCAGGCGTGTGTCCACCGGCACCGCTCTGAAGGCACCGGTGCGTCCCATGAATTCACGCAACACATCGCCAATGGCATCTTCTGCACGATCCCTGGCGACACCCGAGCGCACACGAGCTGCGGCGAGTGAGGAGGCGGCCCAGTGCGATTGACATTGATCAAGACAAAATAGTGATCAAGGGTGTACTGGTCGATGTTCACAAACCATTCTCCGTGTCCAATCAAATGAGTTAGGGGGTCACGGACAAGTAAAGACATTTGTGCATACGTGTGCAGATCATACAGAATCGAGGTTCAGGTTTTGTAGTTCTGTCACAGAGATAATGGACTGACGAGGATAGATTCTCATTTGACTCAGGGGTCACATGCAGCAACTGCGACGACTGGGCACACCAGATGCAGCGTTGACGCAGACTTGAAGGATGTGAAGGATGTGAAGGCCTGTAGTGCGTTTGCTTTTTAACAAATTCAACTTGAGGATTCTAGATAGCATATTCCTGAAACAACAAAAAGATGTGTGAGCATGAATGCTTGTATCAACTGCTACAAACGGAGTGAACTGTGAACACATAAAAGCTGGAACACTTTGTGCATCTGGTTAGTTACTGTTGACTGAGTCGCCTGCGGCAAAACGCTCAGAGAGCAGCTCCTCAGCAGGATTGCCCAGCCGTCAATGAAACCTGCGGCACGCACGCAGCGGACTTCAAAGAAGCATGCTAAAGCTATCCAAAGCTAATATCAGATATTCTGTAATTGTGTTCATTAAATATAGCTTGATTTATAGGGGTCAACATTTCCTGCATAAAATGAGTGGCCTTAGGGCCGGTACAAAACGTTTTTTTTAGTCCCCTAAAGTGACGATGAGGCCCTCATTTTATAGTAAAACCCGATTTTTGACGATGTAGCCCTCATTTTGTAGAGATTTCGTTTTGATGGTTAAATGCATGGGCTATTATTTTGTACAGATGCATGTTTTGATCTTGTATTTTCATAGACAAAGCCAGCCAACCAATTTGTAGAGAAGGATCGGATGGGCCCAAGGGGTGTCGAGGAATTCAACATAGAATTTTTGTACAGGTTTGTTGTGTGTCGATCATTGATTTCGTACAGCTACTCAAAAAAATGTATAAAGATGAAATCCTGCCATTTTGTAAAGTACGAGGGACGTGTCATTCGGAGCCATTTGTGGCTCAAAGATTGGTGTGCAAGCCGTGGCCATGTTACCACCCCATGGATTTCCAACACTATGTGGTGTGGGGACATGTACTGAAGAAGTACCGTGTCCAGAGTGGTGCGCAGAGCGTGGTGTATGGCGCCACTTGGAGGGTTCATCAAAGAAAAGAGAACAATCAGAGACTTGATCGTTTCTTCATGTTCTTTCGTTCACACTCTTAATCTCTCTTAATAGATCTGTCACTGAGTTTCGCGATGCAATATGGGCGCAAGTAGTCGGAGGAAATCGCATCATCATGTCTACTTCGACCAGTGCCCTGATTCGCATTCAAACTGTGCATGTATGCATAAAAATGCATAAATACAAATGCAGGAGTAGGTGCATACCACTGAGACAGACAGGTCGCTCACCTCATGGAGGTGGACAACTGTCATCAGCAAGGCCAAACCAAAGTTGGACACTCCGATTCCTAAGCCTCCTCCGCAGGAGACATGGCTTTGCATTTTGTAGAGATATTGTATGTATTGGACAATATGTATATATATATATACATATACACATTTACATATATTTCCATTAGTACTTGTCCTACAAAGTGGAGGGTGCTGAGAAAAAGGAAACACACTTGAAGGTAGTATTTTCTTTTTGGAATGTGTTTCATTGCGTCCCGTTTTTGTAGAGATGAACGTTTGAGAGAGGAGTGTCACTGGGGCTGTTTTTTTTTAGATCTTGCTAATCGGCGAGGACTCTATGGAGGAGGCTGGGAAAGTAATGCGCTGACATTTTGTAGGTGTGAA